TCTTTGTGATTTCAAGACAGAGGCAGATGGATCTTTGTGATTTCAAGACCACCTTGAGCCACACAAGATCAATGCTGGACCAAATTCAGGTGGTGGTGGCTCACACCTTTAATCCGAGTACTAGGGAGTCATACCTTAATTCCAGCACTGGAGGGAATATAAAATGAGGGGAGAGAAAGGCTTAGGCTGCTTAGTCTGTTTAGTCTGTGGTTGCCCAGCCTTGGGAGAGGTAAGACTTCTCTAGTGACTTGGCTGCTTTGCCTTTCTGCCTTTTGGATTGAATCCCAAAATCTTTCTCTGTTGTTTTTTTTTTTTTTTAATATTAATACTACATTTGATGCCCAACTTTTTTGGTTAAAAAATCATGAAAAAGCCATTTGCCTGAGGCATTTTAGCCACCAACACAAACCGGGCTTCATGTGGGTCTCCAGCCCTATCCAACTAGGCGCTCTCTCTCCTCTCTCTCTCTCTCTCTCTCTCTCTCTCTCTCTCTCTCTTCCTTTTTGGGTTTTGAGAAAAGTTTCTCTGTGTAGCAACCCTGGCTGTCCTGAAACTTGCCTTGCAGACCAGGCTGCCTTCCAAGGGCCGCCACACTGTTTTCCCTCTATTTCTTTGTGACACACATTTTACTCTTCTCCTATTTTAGTTTTCTTCCTACACTGCCACCACCTCTACCTTATGGTTGTATAGTAATATGAGCGGCGGGGCTGCGTTCCCAGCACCCCAGCCGCCTGGCTAGCTTATGCCCCGGAATAATTACACGGACACTGTATTCTTTTAATCACTGCTTGGCCCATTTCTATCTAGCCTCTTCTAGGCTAACTCTCGCACCTGGACTAGCCCATTTCTAATATTCTATGTAGCACAGCTGGGTGCGCTTACCAGGAAGATTCTAGCTTACGTCCATCCTGGGTCGGAGCTTCATCGCGTGTGTCTGCCCGGGAGCGGGGCATGGCGTCTCTCTCTGAGGCGTCTTACCTCACTTCCTCTTCCTCCCAGCATTCTGTTCTGTTTACTCCACCCACCTATGTTCTAAGCTATGAGCCCAAGCAGTTTGTTTATTACTTAACCAATGAAATCAACAGATTGATATATGACACTCCCACATCATGGTTGCTTTCTTGACTCCTGGCCTCTATAATATTCACTCCTATTTAAACACAGAAGTTTAAACTTTGAATCTAAGACTCACATATGAGAAAGTCCTACAGCATGTCTTTCCAGGCCTTGCTTACTGTACTTGGTACAATATTTTCCAGTTTTACTCACTTTCCTGCAATTTTTTTTAGTGCGGAATAGAATTCCATTGTGTAATTATGCCATATTTTCATCAGCCATTCATCTGTTGGATGACATCAAGGCTGGTTCCATTTCCTAGATATTGTCAACAGGGCAGCAATGAACATGGTTGGTTATACAGATCTCTATCTAGGATACAGGGTCCTTTGACTGTATGCCGGGAGTGGTAGATATAACTGGGTGATAGAATATGTGAAGGTTTGAAAGAAATGGCTCCCGAAGGTATTGTCACAATTAGGAGGTTCTTTTTTTTGCAGTAGGTGTGACCTTGTGTGTGTCACTGTGGAGGCTGGCTTTGAAGTCTCATATACGCACAAGCCATATCCAATGATACAGTTTGCTTCCTGTTGCCTGTGCAACATATAGAACTGTCAGGTATCTCTCCAACATCATGTCTGCCTGCATGCCACCATGTTCACCCTCTGTTTGATGTGTAACTTCTCATCCTAAGGCTGCTTCTTCACATGAGTGTTTACTTTTTTTTACAGAAGCTGAAGTCCCCTTTTGTCCCATTCACCTTCTTTTCTGAGCATCATTATTCCTACTCAGAAAGCCCTTCCCCATGCCTGTGTCTTGTTGTGTATGCCCTTCTTTTTCTTTTTGAAGTTCCAGGTTTTACATTGAGAACTTTGAGGCATCTGGAGCTGAATTTTGTTTATAGTGAGAGATAAAAATATCATTTTAGTCTTTTTTTATGTGGATATTCAGTCTCTCCACACCCTTTGTTGAAGACAGTATCTTTCCTCCAGTGTGTACCTTGGCATCTTTAATAAAAATCAAATGGCTGTATGTAGGCGGAGGCTGCTCATTTGTTCCCAGCTGCCCAGACTGGAAATAATCACACAGAGATTGTATCAATTACATATTGTTTGGCCAATAGCTTAAGAGTATTTCTAGCTAGCTCTTATATCTTAAATTAACCCATTTCTATTATTCTGTGTATTACCATGAGGCTCATGGTTTATTGGCACGGTTTTGGGGTGCTTCTGTTCCATTGGCAGCTACACGGCGTCTATCTGACTCTGCCTTCTTTTATCCTTTATCTCTGCTTGAATTCCTGCCTTGCTCTATTCTGCACTGCAATAGGCCCAAATCAGATTCCTTATTAACCAATGGTAACAAAAGATATTTACAGCATATAGAGGGGAATCCCATATCACCCCCCTTTGTCTGCGTAAATAAAAAGGAAGATTTTAACTTTAACATAGTAAAATTACATATAAAAAACTATTACCAAGCAAGAATTATTGCTTCAAGTTTATCTCCATTTAGTATGATCCTGGCCCTGGGTTTGTCATATGTGGCATTTATTGCAGTGAGATATATTCTTTCTAGAGCTGTTTTTTGTTTGTTTGATTTTTGAAACAGGATCTCACTATGTAGCTCTGGATGGCCTGGAACTTGCTTTGCAGACTTCCAGGATGGCTTTAACTCAGAGAGAGCCCCCTGAGTGCTAGATTAAAGGCATGTACTATCATGTCTGTCTCTCTATAGGGCTTTTGTTTTAAGGGATTTTGGCTATTGCTGTGCTGGGCTTGGGTTGAAGCACCAGAGGTAGCTGGTGTGAGGGCTTTATCTGTGAAAGGAGCAGGTGTTTCAGGTAGGTCCTCCAATGGTGGGGTTCACGTGCAAGGGGGAAATGGGGTGCTCTATTTGTGGAGAGAGTGATTTCTTCAAGTAGGTCCTCAGATGGCAGGTAGGGTTTCTAGTATAGCTCTGACTATCCTAGAACTTTCTGTAGATCAGGCTAGCCTTGATCCACCTGCCTCTCTCTCCCAGTTTCTGGGATTATGGGAAAGTCACACAACTGAGCTTAGATTCTTTTCTTTGGGCAGGGGATGGGCAGGATCTTTTTATGGATCCCAGGCTGACCTCAAATTCCCAGCAATCCTTTTTCCCAGTCTCCCCAGTACTGGTATTATAAGTATATGCCATCATGGTCACTGGACAGTTTCTAATAATGAGAAGCTAGTAGATATTGAATTGACATAGATTATCTTCCATCTGGGTAACACCCAGATTTAGAATTATTACTGAGCAAGTCTAATCATCACTAGCATGGACTTGGGGAGCAGGAGCAGGGTGAAGAACAAAGAGCTAAGCTTTGGATACTGGCAGAATGGGACTCCCTAACCCTTCACATAGCACGCATGGAGTCTCAGTGAGAAGGAGGTCCATCTAAGGATTGCTGTCTAATTTAGAGGGAATGTTCCAGAGTGGGGTTGTAAGCTTTTGTGGCCAGACTAAAGCTTTGGTGACGGCTTCAGTTTGCTACAGTGCAGATGTGGCTTAAAGGAGACCACTGTGAACTCATCAAGTCTGAATTTTATTTCACCTAGAGGCTGAATGATGAAGGGACATTCTTCCATGTTACATGTATCCCATGATTCTTCTGTTCTGTCCACTTGGGTTCATGCTGGGGCTATTGTGCCAAGAGTGAAGATTTTGCCTCACTTCCAGGCGCTGACTCTGCCCCTGGCCCTGAGCGTCTGCCCTTGTATTCGCAGGTTTTTGCAAGCCTCTGTAAGTATAGCAAAACTCTGTTAATTTGATGTTCATGCTCGATATTTGCAAAAGGATGAACTGCTTGACAAGGTGAGAATGTTTCCTGGTGTCACTGGTTCTTTATTTTAAAATGTAGACAATATTGAAATGAAAGAAACACTCAGAGCTCACAGCTTCCAGTAAACCCCAGCAGCAGCAATGAGTGCATTCACAGCATGGCGTGGTTGTGAAATCGCATCTTTACTTTCCCTTCCTGCTCTTGACTTTATTCCTGTCTGTAGATATTTTGCTTTTTCTAAATCCAAGGTTTATAGCAACTCTGCAGTATGGGAATCCCTTGATACCATTTGTTCCGTGGTGTGGGAATCCCTTCCTGTCTTTCACATTTCGGGATTCTTTCTTTTAAAGATTTATTTATAATGTATATGACTGCTGATTCTGCATGTATGACTTATGTCAGAGGAGGGCACCATATCTTTTTACCACCATGAGTCACTATGTGGTTGCTAGTAATTGAGCTCAGGACCTCTGGAAGAGCAGCCATTGAGTGCTCGTAACTGCTGAGCCATCTCTTCTGTCCCAGTCCCATTAATCCTTACAGTATTGTCAAAGTTTTCATATATATATATATATATATATATATATATATATATATATATATATATATTGGTTGTTTATTGTCAATAATATTTTTACCAAGCTAAATTTTTCTTTGACAATTTTACATGTATACATATATTCATTTACACATACATATATATTTATATATGTACACATATATGTTGTTCTTTGACAATTTCACATTTGTATTTCTGATTATACTTTTTCTTTGGTTTTTCAAGACAGGTTTTTCTCTGTGTAGCTTTTAGAGCCTATCCTGGAACTCCGTCCTCAGATCAGGCTGGCCTTGAACTCCCAGAGATCTGCCTGCCTCTGCCTCCCTAGTGCTGGCATTAATGTATGTGCCCCACCACTTGGCGAGTTCTGATTATTCTTATCCCCACTCTCTCTTTTCTCCCTCCCATACCTGATAGTGCCCCCCTCCTCCCTACAGGTCCATTTATCTTGCTTGATTTTTTAGTGACCACTAGAGTGTCTTAGTGTCCATGGATATGGAATTGTCTAATAGAGCCTGGTGGACTCACCAATGGGAACAAAAAGTTTTAGTTTTGCAGGATATTTGACACACTATGAACTCCAAGATTTCACTATTTACTGGAGAAAAAAAAACAGTTTCTGGTTTTGGTGTGGCTCATCCCTAGCACACACCTTTAATTTGAGAGCTTTCTGCCTGAGTATCATAAACAGGATTAAATACAATCAGGTCAAGAGTCAGAGCAAGCAAACAGCTGACAGAAAGTGAACATAAATTATTAGGAAAAAATGTAGAAAGTAAGAGGAAGTCAGGAGGATGGATAGAGAGACTCAGAAGCAACAGAGGAGACAGACATTGAGTTGGAGAGGACTTATTTGAGACAAGAAGAGGCTTCTGGGACAACAGTGGAAGAGGAAGGTCAGTTGGATGCTTTCTCTCTGAGCTAGCAGGCTGTATAAGTTAAGAAAGAGCATCAGTGAGATCAAAATCAGAAAATTCTCCCATTTCTGTGGCTGGATCCTTTCTACTAACTGGCTTCCATGGGCGTCCAGGACATTTGGGGGACATTGCTTCTGGAAAGTCAGATATCAGCTTAAATGAAAGGCTATCTGGTTGCACCCGGATTTCAGGGATCAACTCATCATAGGTCTCCGTGGCATATGGTGGTGTGGTACCCACCTCACCATCAATTAAATCTGAGTTCTGAAAGTCAGAAGGGGTAACCGCGACACTGGGCTGAGCTAGGGGAGGGCTAGGGGTGGTCCAGCCCTGTGTCTGTATGGAGGATGTAGAGCTGTCTTCAGAAGTGCCTACCAAAGGCTCTGTTCTCTCCTCAGTTTGCTTGCCATTGTTTCTGTTATGATTTTTGTGTTTACTATGGCCATGACCATGCTTATGAGCACGTTCCTCTCTATGTTCATGGTCAAAATTGTCTTCCCTTTGGGGTTTAAGATAATCCAATTTAAGCTGATGTCCATGGCCAAGGCCATGTTGCTTCTGATGTCCATGGCCAAGGCCATGTTGCTTCTGATGTCCATGGCCAAGGCCATGTTGCTTCTGATGAACATGGCCAAGGCCATGTGTCTTTGGGGGCCGATGGCCTTGGTCATGCCCATGCTTATGACCATGGTCAATCTTATGCTTTTTCTGTTTCTCATGCCCCTCAGCGGGTCTTCGCTCATGTTCTGCATCCTGCTCTTCTTGCACCATGGCAGTATAGGGTGGACTTACAGTTGTTCCTTCTTTTGCTTCTTGGACTTGGACTGACCGGAAAGGTGAAAAGCCTGGAGGTCTCCTCATCATCTAGAAAGGAAATATTAAGATGAATGCGTTGTTAGAATCAGGTTGTCAATGAGGGAAGCAGAGATTAAGACTCTGGTGATATCATTTTGGCTTACAATGGGGTGATTTTTGCCAGATTTTAAATACAGTATTAATTTTCTAGAAAGAATGAATTAACAAAGTTTCTTCTCTTTTAATTGTTCTTAAGATTTATGGACTTTGTGGCACTGGAGACTGAACTCCAGACCTTATACCTGTTGGCCTCAACCACTGATACATCCCCAACCTTGCCTGCCTATTGTTCTTAATAATACTCCAAGACTAAGAGTTTTTCTTCATTTGAAAAAACTGGATGGTTGAACTATGTAACAGTACACTGTTTGTTAACTGATTTAATTTCTTTCTTTCTTGTTTTTTGTTTTGTTTTGTTTTTTTGAGACAGAGTTTCTCTGTAGCTTTGGAGTTTTTTTTGGCCCTCGCTCTGTAAACCAGGCTGGCTTCAAACTCACAGAGATCTGCCTGTCCCTGATTCCCAAATGCTGCGATTAAAGGCGTGTGCCACCACAGCACGGCCTGATATCATTTCTGCAACAGTTATTACTGGTTTTATCCTTAAAGGCCTGAACAGCGTCACAGTTTCACTTTTTTGGCTGAACCACTCTGGAGCTTACTCGCAAGCTTGATCACAAGGCTTTTTACAATCATTTACAGACAGTATACAAACGACAAGGACCTAAACTAGAGAGAGAGAGGCGGCAACTTGCACGAAAGCATGGTTTCGTGAATACGATCCACCTCCATTTTCACCACCTGTGAGAGGAGACAGGTGAAGCCAGCGTTCAAGCCTGATCTTCTAGCTGTGAGGATCAGGATGGAAAGGGTAAGCTCTGATTGGACCTGCTCTCGATGCTGTACAAGCTACCTTCACTTTTCTGTAAAAGAAAAATAGCAGCACTCCTCCCAGGGTCCTAGAGACTGGTGAGAATGTGCATGGCGTTTGCTTTGCAGAGCCTGGGACAAGGGATATAGTGATGTAATTCACTCTGGAGCCTCACAGCTTTTCAAATCTTTTTCTTTGTCCTGTTGTTGTTTTTGTTGTTGTTGTTGTTTTTAGAGACAGGGTTTCTCTGTGTAACAGCTCTGGCTGTCCTGGAACTCACTTTGGAGACAAGGCTGGCCTCAAATTCACAGATATGTCTGATTCTTGAGTGCTGGGATTAAAGGCATGAGCCACCATGACCTGACTGGCCTTTCAAATCTTAGTGTCCCATCTTTGACAACTCACAAAGCACTATTCTCTGTAAAGACTTGAAAAGATGATGTAGAGTCATGCCTTACAGACATGAACCATGTGTGTGAGCCCTTGAAGACCTATTAAAACACAGGGCAGATCAGCATAGAAAAGGATAACTTCTTACTATTTTAAAAGAGATACCCCCTCCCTCCAGTTTATTTTCAGAAATGATTCATTTTGAATACCCAGATATGACTTTTTGGAATTATAGTCAGAATTGACCCCAAGCTGACCGCAATTGAGCTCCTACCACTTCTAATACTTGGCACTTGACGGTCGGTTCGACTTTGTTCTCCCAAGGTCTCATGTACACATTAGCACTGCAGCTGAGACTTTGCTGATGAGGAAAGCAGAAGCCAAGAGGAAAATCGTTAGTCATGAGGCCCGTGAGCAATGAATTTTAAAGCATCACCCAGGCCCCCTGATACTCACACCAGAGGACTTGACTTCACAATCTGGTCCCAGTTCCATGTTATTCGCCTTTGAACATTTGGTTTCTCTGGCAATGAACTCAATAAAATACCTCATTCCACCTACCACCTGTAAAGTTAATTAGAACAATGTTGACAGAGGTTTCTGTCCCACCCAGTCCCACAGCCATTCATTCCCAAAGAAATACACAGAAGTCTACATTAATCATAAACTGGTTGTCCTATTAGCTCAAACTTCTTATTACTTAATTCTTACATCTTAACCCACAATTCTTGTCTGTGTTAGCCACATGGCTTGGTACCTTTCATCAGCAAGGCACTCTCATCTGTGTCCTCTGCGTCTGGGTGACAACTGCAGACTGAGCTTTCCTCTTCCCAGATTTCTCCTGTTCTTGTTGCCCCGCCTCTGCTTCCTGCCTGATCATTGTGCCTATACTTCCTTCCTGCCTGGCTACTGGCCAATCAGCACTTTATTAAGCCGTTACAAGAAACAAATCTTTACAGGTTAAAACCAAGATAAGTTTTTAATAAGGATTAATGTAACAAATTATACTTTTTTACTCTGATAAGTTTAAAGTTAGAACATTGACATTTTGATTATGCACTGATCATTTTAGTAGTCATACTCCCCAAGCTACCAATATCTGATACAGACTTTAGGGTTGTATGCACATCTAGGATTTCTTGATATTAGTTGGGTAGAGTCCTTTACTATGTGCAAGAAAAGCTGGATACAGTGTTTACTTTCATCCACATATATCAATTTTAAGGCTCAAGAGCTGCAAACTATGTTCACCAGAGATTCAGTTCTTAAGTTACAATACAATCCGAGGTATGGAAGAGCAACCTAAAAATATTTTCTTCACACATTTTTTGTTGTCTTGCTGCCAAATACTAAATCAGTAAATTCTTATGTAGAGTGATATGAAATTAGGAAAATATTTAGATTATCTATTGCTTCTCATTATTATTATTATTATTATTATTATTATTACTATTAATTTGGTTTTTCAAGACAGAGTTTCTTTGTGAAACTGTTCTGGCCATTCTGGGACTCAGTTTGTAGACCAGGTTGGCCTCACACTCAGAGAGATCCAACTGCCTCTGCCTCTACCAAGTGTTGGCATTAAAAGCATGCACCACCACCACTTCGCTGTCCAGGTGTTCTTGCACCAACATCTGTACAACACGCTGGTGAAGTAGTGTCCTCATAGCTCAGAAGAACATCTGGAGTTACAACGGTTGAGGGCCACCATGTTGGTCAAGAGAATTGAACTTTAGCCTACATAAGAGCAGCCAGTCCTCTAAACCACTGCGCCGTCTCAGCAGCCCTTCCAGTTAAGTATTTAGTAACAGTTTTTTAAAACTTTATTGAGCTAAACATTTTCTCTGCTCCATTTATTTCCCCCCCTTTTCCTTTCTACCATGTCCTGTGATCCCATGTACTTAATTTACTCAGGAGATCTTGTCTTTTTCTCCTCCTGTGTAGATCCATGTTTGTCCCTCTTAGGGTCCTCCTCATTGTCTTTGCTAACAGTTTTAAACACTACACAATCTTGTCTATAAACAGTAACCCAATTTTGTGATCCATTTATATACTGTAGGATTGAACTGTATATGTGCACGTCTAGAGTATAACACAGCTGGTGCAAAGAATTCATCTGTACATATTGATCCAGAAGAACAGAATCTGAAACCTTTTATAGCTCTTTATGCTTTTATGGTTTTATCTTTGTTGTACTAGGAGGGGTGCTAGGATTCACCAGGGACCTACTACTGAGTTTTATCCTCAACGCTTTAAATTTTTATTTTTTTATTTGGGAAATAATCTTATTATGTAACTCAGAGTGGTCTGTAGATAGTGGCTGTCAAAATCACAAACCTCCTGCCTCAACCTTCCAAGTACTAGAATTACAGGTGTGAGTTGCCATTCTGGCTTCCTGGTGCTGACAGCTTAACTTAATTCAGAGCTTGGGGGGGGGGAATGCAACACAGCTAGTAGGGGTTCAAGACTGCATCCACCCTGCCACCACCACCAGTGTTCTGATCAAGGTTTGCACCGTACAAAGTCTGAAGCCACTGTGCCAAATTTTATCTATCTATCTATCTATCTATCTATCTATCTATCATCTATCTATCTCTCTATCTATCTATCATCTGTCTATCTATCATCTACTTTGTTATCCTTGTAGAGAATGCTGTATGTCAATATAAATTCCAACTGTACTTGAAAGTCAAATAATGGAGGGGAAACATAGTGGGAGGAAGCCTAAAGTAAAAGGAAAATCTTTACAGTGCTAGACAATGATGTAAATCATTCCTCAGAAATTAGAGCAAGGTAGGGTCGTGGTGGCACATGCCTTTAATCCCAGCACTTGGGAGGCAGAGGCAGGAGGGCGTCAGTGAGTTCAAGGACAGCCTGGCCTACAAGAGCTAGGTCCAGGACAGCCAGGGCTGTTATACAGAGAAATCCTGTCTATGGAAAACAGGATACAAACAGGCTTCTAAGGAATAAAAATAAATAAAATATAATATATTAAAATAAAATAAAACACAACACATTACAATGAAACAAAAATCAGTAAGTGACATAGCACAGCGGGCCATGCTTTAATCCCAGCACTTAGGAAGAGAACCTAATAGATCTCTGTGAGTTTGAGGCCAGTAATGTCTACACAGCAAGATCCAGGACAGCCTGAACTATATAATGAGATCCTGTCTCAAAAAAAATAAATATAAAAGTATTTAGAAAGATATCTAACCAAAGAAGTCAAAGACCTCCACAATGAAATTCTCAAGATATTGGAAAAGGAAACTGCAGAAGGTACTAGACAAGAGAAAAAATGTCAATATTCTTGGATAGACAAAATTAATATTGTGAAATATCTACACTACCAAGATTAATATACAGAAGTGATACAATAGTTATGAAAATATCATGTAATATTTCACAGGCTTAGAAAAAATAATTCAAGAATTCATATGTAACCACAAAGAGAGAACAGCCAAAGCAATCCTAAGGGGTAAGAACAATGCTGAAAGTGTTGTAATACTTGACCTCAAATCTGTATAGTATATACCCATAGTGTTAGCGACAGCCTACAACTGGCACAGAAGCAGACAGGGAGACCAACAGCTCAGGAACCAGCCGCAAGTCTCAACAGAAGAGACTGGATGAGAATGGCCTGCATGGCTAAGGAAACAACCAGCACAGAACACACAGCCCACAGCATGGGGTGCGCTCCTCCAGCTACACGTCAGACAAGGAGCTAATATCCAGAATTTACAAAGAACTGCAGACATTCAATGCCAAGGGAATAAAACTGTCACTCGACAAGCAGGCTAATGAACCAATAGGCAGTTTTTTAAAAAGGACACACAAATGACCAATAACTATTGTAAAATGTATTCGGTATCCTCATACACTAAGGGAAATACAAGTTACAGCTACTTGGAGATAACTCCTCCTCCCACTCAGAACTGGCTACCATTCAAACAACAAAAAGCTGGAGAGAACATGGAGAGAAATGAACCTTTATTCACTGCTGGTGGGGATGCAAATTAATACAGCCATTAAGAAAATCAGTTTGAACGTTCCTTATAAAAAAGTAGAACTACTATATGACCTATCTATTTCACTCTGTGCATATGTACAGAGAACTCCACACCCTACCACAGATAATTATACCCCATGTTTATGACTGTTTATTACTTATAGTAAAGAATTGACATCAGTCTAGTTGTCATTGAACGAATGGACAATGAAAATTTAGTACCTATGTATGTACATTGAACTATTACTCAGCTCAGAAAAAAAGTAAAATTAAAAATTTTCAGGAAAATGCAACTTAAACTGTGTAATAAATATTAATTGTGGTCACATAATCTGAGAAAGAAATATATCACATATTTTCAGATGAGAAACCTGGCCCACAATATACATAAATCAGCATATATGTGGATATAGTAAAGATGAAGAAAAGAGAACAAGTAATATGATATAAAGCTAATTTTTTAATGCTAATTCTGTCATGGACTTTTTGAATTTGGTGTTGAATAAGTACATAAAATTTGATACTGAAATTATAAAATAACATGACGCTTCACAGCCTCTCTTTCGATGCCAATTATATTAGCATAAGTTCATTAAGGACTTTGGGTATGGTTAATTTTGCTGTGTGATGTTTTTATTGTTTATTCAAGTTTATTAAAAATGATAAATAAGATATCACAATAAACAAAGTGAAAAGGCAAACAGGTAAAACTGAGGTGCAGGATAAAGTTTGCCATGAACATAAAGCCCGACTTTGAAAAATGGACATTGGGCTGAGTATCTGAGAAAAGAAATGATGTGTACCAGTCATTAAAAGGATTAATGTTGCTAATAAGCAAAGAGGGGTGCTTTGAGAAAGGAGAGCAACATTATTCTCAGTTTTCCAGACCAGCGAGGATGAGGACAGGCAGACACCGTTGTTGAGCAAGTGCACACTTGGTCCATGATGGGAGGAGAAGAATCAAGACTACATCCGTTTTAGTGGTCTCCTGCCTCAAGGACTGGATCCTAGGTCCTATGTCATGAGGTCCTCTCTCCAAGCACAAAGTTCATTTTTAAATGACAATTAAAAATAAACCTCTACTCTCTCTCTCCCTCTCTTTCTCTTTCTTTCTCTCTCTCCCCTTCTTGTCACTCTCTCTCACTCTCGTTTTTTCTTTCTCTCTTCCCCCCTCTATTTCTCTTCATTTCTTCCTTTCTTTATACTTGGTTTTTGAGACAGAGTTCCTCTGCATAGCCCTTCCTGTCCTGGAACTCATGCTGTAGACCAGGCTGGCCTCAAACTCCTAGAGATCCACCTACATCTTGAGTGCTGGGATTAAGGATGCGTGCCACCACCACTCACCTTAGTTCTTTTCTTGAATCTACCTACCTCTCCGTTTTGTTTCCATAACACTACTATGACAGTTTGCTTCAAAAGTCACAGGTATATGCAAACTGAATTGCAAGCCCTAGGCTTTGGGTTTGGTCCACAGCACCACATGAACACATAAACAAATCCCTCAAAATCAGATATCTACAATTTTTTTTTTTTACATTTCTTCTTAGGACTTCTGTTAAAAGAACATTCTCAAAACTGCACATAGATTGTCAGCATTTGTTCATCTGTGCAGAGACAGGGACAATTTCCACAGCCCCAGGGGACATCATCCACAGCCCCAGAGAATCCCCATCCACAGCCCCAGGGCCAGCAGCTGTGGGGCAGGAACAATGGACAAGAAGCAGCAGAAACCTCACTCATGGAAGATTTGGATTCAGAGTCCCAACTATCAATTTAGTTTGGAGTGGATCCACACTCTAATAGGACTAAATAGATAAAGCCAAGGCAAGGTTACAACTATATAAAATATCTTTAGCAACTTAGCAAGTTCTTGGCCAAGAGTCTGCATCAGAACAAGTTCCTAACAGCTAATTGAGTCCCTGTAAATTGCTACTTTAAAGGCTGCTTTGAGTGACCAGTTTAAGGAGTCAAATAGAGGCTTTCAAATGAAATTCGTACTATATTCTAGTAGATTTTGCAGCTAACTAAACATTTGTCTGTAACAGAGACTGCTTTTTTGTTTTCCAGCTGAATAGTCACACAAAACTCTTTTAAATACAACACTGTTTGGGCAATGACTCTGGCGTATCCCTAGCTAGCTCTTCCATCTTAAATTGACCCATTCTTATTAATCTATGTACCACCATGAGGCTGTGGCTTACTGGTAAGTTTCCATTGTCTTTCTCCTTTGGCAGGTGCATGGCATCTGCATGGCTCTGTCTTCTTCTACCAGCATTGAGTTTAGTTTTCCTGTCTAGCTCTATTCTGCACGGTTATAGGCCAAAGCGGCTTCTTTATTAACCAATGGTAATAAAACATGTTACAGCATACAGAGGGTAATCAGTTGTCTGTTTCCTGCTCTCAGTATTATCTCAATGTGCTCCCTTGGCATTCTTCACACACACACACACATACACACACACACACACACACACACACACACAACACTCATCCAAACATGCACATACAAGGGTGAGGTAGAAGAAGGGGGATGAATGAAGGGCTCCTAGACCCAAGCCTTGGATGTGCAGTACATGGCCACCCGCAATCCTGACATTGCTAAGAATAAAGAAATTTCATAGGACAGCAGAACCATCAAACAAGAATAAAGAAAGCACAAAGAGGAACAGTATAAAGCAGCAGCCCCTTTGAGGGAGCTGGCCCGTGACATCAGTGAGTCTCAATGCTGTGAGCATCACACAGAGGTCAAGTTGAGATTTATTTGAATAATGTTTGTCTATTCTTTTTGGCGATAAAATGGAGGAAATTAGAAAGATGAGAATAAGTAGACCCTTGTCCCACATTCTAAATTCACCATTGTGGACAACCGAGGCACACAGCACTCCACCTACTCATCTCTTTTCAGTGTTGCTTTCTGTAGGCGCAGCTGTGGCATCACGTGCATCCTCTTTCTTTCTTTCTTTCTTCCTTCCTTCCTTCCTTCCTTCCTTCCTTCCTTTCTTTCTTTCAGACAGGGTTTCTCTTTAACTGCCCTGGCTGTCCTGGAGCTCACTTTGTAGACCAGACTGGCCATGAACTCACAGAGATCCACTTGCTCTGCCTTCTGAGTGCTGGGATTAAAGACAAGCACCACCACCACCCAAACTCATGGATTCCTTTTTACAGTCTGCTTTTTGTTGGCTACTAATCACAAGACCCTTCTCTAGTGAACACTTTTTACAGAGATGCCTTTAAGTCTCTGCCTAATCATTCCCATATTGTTGGTTCTGTTATTTTCAATGGGGTGGGGTGGGTGTGTGCATGCCATGGCCTGTGTGTGGAAGACAGAGGACAACTCCGAGGAATCGATTCTCTCCTTGCACCCATGTGAATTCCAGGGATGGGATTCAGGCTGTCTGTTGGGTGGGTATAGAAAGTGCCTTTGCCATCTGAGCCACCACACTCACCTGGAGAGTGTGACATTTTACCACATCTTTTGCTCCTATAACCGCAACGAAAGTGACTATGGCTATATATGAAGCCTCTTGCCTCAGATGCCTAGAAATCCAACTATTAAGCCAAACGATGGGCATTTTCTTACTAGATTGCAAAGATTATTTTGGCTACTTTAACAGTTTGGGTCTAGCTTGTTTACTTTTCTTACCTTGTATCTAAGGAAGGCAGCTTGAGTCTCTAGAGTAGGAATCTGTCCTTGCACAATACGATTATAGACTACCAGCGCTGTTAGAGGGTCTGGCTTTTTTGAATCCAGCTACTCATTTTACAGATGGTGCCACAAAGGCTGAGATTTTCATAACAACATAGAGTCACCAAGGATAGAGGCTGTTTTATAGCTAATCTTCTGATCCCAGATGAAGGTAACTAGCTTTTATGATTGGGTGAGAAAGTGGAGCTGAGGCTCTAGAGAAATAGACATGAGGGCATCTATGACAAAGGGAGAGGAGGGAGAAAGAACAAGGCCATGTGAGAGTGTAGGGCTTTTAATGACTGACTATCGATGTGGCTGAGTCTAAGGGGTTTAGCATTTTCCCCCACCTCATGTCTCCATTCCCCATCAGTGTGTGTGTATGTGCACGTGTACATGTGTGCATGTGTATGTGTGTGAAATAAATCAGACCTTGCTATGTAGTCCAAGCTGACATAGAACTTGCAGCAATCCCCCTGCTTCAGCTTCTGAGAGCTTGGACAATGGGTGTGCACCACAACACCTTACACTAATGTTCTTGTGAGAGAAGAGCCTGCAAAGGCTGAAAGTAAAAGCCTTGCTCTTCCTCCCCAAGACCTTGCTAACTCTACAGTGGTTTCCAGGGTTTGTATAGTAAAAGCCTTGCTCTTCCTCCCCAGGACCTTGCTAACTCTACAGTGATTTCCAGGGTTTGTATAGTAAAAGCCTTGCTCTTCCTCCCCAGGACCTTGCTAACTCTACAGTGGTTTCCAGGGTTTGTATAGTAAAAGCCTTGCTCTTCCTCCCCAGAACCTTGCTAACTCTATAGTGATTTCCAGGGTTTGTACCATTTTCTGGAGTCTGACATTCATTTGTCACACTTTGCCTAATTTGAGCTTCATCCCAGACATTTTCAGGTAGAAAACAGAGCTTTTGCTTTGTTTTGTTTTGCTTTTTGTTTCTCAAGACAGGGTTTCTTTGTGTAGCCCTATCTATCCTGGAATTAGCTCTGTAGATAAGGCTGGCCTCAAACTCAGAGATATGCCTACCTCTACCTCCTGAGTGCTGGGATTAAAGGCGTTTGATATCACCTTCTGGCAAACAGAACTTTAAAGATACTTGTCTGAGACACTCAGGCACACAGCGGAGTTGGGAGTTGAAATTTAAACCACAAAATCCTGTTACCAAGTATAGTTTCCCCAACCACAGTGAAGACCAGCAATCAAATTAGCAAGCAATCTGCTCGTATCGGATTACACCCTCCGATTTTTGTGGCTGTTTACAGACCTGGGATGAAGCTTTTTTCACTGTGTCGATCTTGAAATAGAAAGAATGGTTATTCTCTGTGTTAAGCTTTTTGATGGCATGACCGAGAGGTTCTGTCAACACTGGGCTATCTACAGGTATGCTCTTGGGGCATCCAAAGCAGCCGTCGGGAAGTGGTTGTGTCAAATCCTCTCCTGAAAAAACAAACAGATTTAAAGTCAGTAGGTATACCCAAAGAGTAGTCTACCCTGGCTCCTGTCACACAGAGGCCCAGCATCCTCATTTTCACAAGGTGGGAAGTGAGCAGAGCAGAGTTAAGGAATGGCGGTCCATGAGCCACTCACTTTCTTCCTCTCTCTCTTTCTCTGTCCTCCTTGCAGCCCAGATGCTTAGGGAAGCATGCCTTTGACCATGTTGAGCCATATGTCCTACTTCTTTTGATCCACTCCCCCAGACAGATTCTGATGTGTCCCAATGTTGGGAATATTAATTTAAGATGTGTTACATTTGTTTATGCTGTGATGCAAAGATGTGTTGCAGTCTTTTACGTTGCATGTATGCAACTCTGCAAAGCTCTTACCCTTTGCCTGTCTAAAACACGTGATGCTCTCGTAAAGAGCTGAATGGCCATTCGCAAGGCAGGAGGAAGGATAGGCAGGACTGGCAGGCAGAGTGAACAAAAGGGAAGAAAAATCTGGAAGGAGAGACGAAGGAGCAGGAGAGATCAAAAAGTGAGGAAGCAAAGGACCAGCCACCCAGCCAGCCATGGAGGAAGAGTGAAAGTAAGATACAGAAGTAAGAAAAGAAGAAAAGCCTAGCAGGAAAAGATAGATGGGATCATTTAAGTTAAGGAAAGCTGGCTAGAAGCAAGCCAAGCTAAGGCCAGGCATTTATAAGGAAGAATAAGACTCTGTGTGTGATTTATTTGGGGCTAGGTGGCAGGCACCGCAAAGAGCCAAAAGAATCAAAGAGTAAGAAACAACCAACTACCTTTGGTGCCCAACGTGAGGTTAGAGTGAAAGAGATTTCGTCATCCCAACCCAGCCTTGAAGTCCATGTGGAACAAAAGTTGGCCTAGAACTTCTGCTCCCCTGCTTCAGTTTCCCGAGTGATGTGATTACAGGGTGTGCCACCGCATCCAGCTTAAAATTTTGCATCTTCAGTGCAAACTTGGGAGAAATGTGTAACTTAGAGAAAGGCAGAGGTGACCGTAAAGGAATGAATGAATGAGCCTCCAGCGCGGCTGCACGGACAGCGATGTCTTGGTGCTTCTCATCATGGCCTGTGCACAGTGCTGCCTCCAGCTATGACATGTGCAGAACTGTTTATGACTGTGAGAGAAGTCAGCTCTCCTTTGAGAAATGCCAATTTAGCCATAAGCTTTTCACAGACAACTTCCCATCCTAACATGCTGGGAAATCCATCTTTATCTGGAGGGATTCCATTCTGTATGGCTTAAAATGAGTCCTCTCCAACTCAAAACCCCACATTTAAGAACAATTTGTAGAAAAGGAAAAGAAAGCCAGCTGGCATTGCCCCTGAAGATGGCCTTGGTCCAGAGAGCACACACTGTTCCTTCTGTCCTGGGTTGACTTGGCCATTTACAGACACGCTGCAGCTGGGTCAGAAGGCAGGCCCCATTGTTTCCCCATGGCCCCCTATGTGCTTTCTCACCTGGATAGATGTTGCAGTCCTGGGTAAAGTCAGCAACGTTTTGTTTGATATCCACAAAGGCGTTATCTCTACACTCCCCAAAATCCTGGTGGTTCAAAGTCAGAAGTTAAAATCAATTTTGAAAACAAACAACTAATAAAAATCAAAGAGAGTATGCTTGCTTAACAAATTCTTGCATAGGGAAAAGGGGAGAAAAAGAAATAGAAGCTGAAAGCAAACGAAAACCAGAAGCACGTGAGAGTATCTATGTCTACAAATAAACAGAGGGGTATGAAATAAGAATGTTCACTACATGGTGAACATATCAGTGAGTGGGTTTCTCTCTCTCTGTCTCCGTGTGTGTGTGTGTGTGTGTTCACAAGTGCAGGATGATGAATCTCTTGACACTGGAGTTAAAGAAGTTTGTAAACTTCCTGATGTGAGATGGGGGTGCTGGGAACCAAACTCAGGTCCTCTATAAGATAGGGCTTCCTTATAATCATTGAGCCCCCTCTCCAGACTCTGCACCTTAGCTTATGAGAAGGGTCTCTCGCTGAGCCTGGGGTAATAAATATTATGTGTATATGAAATCAGATATAAAGATAGATAGGATGTCTAGATATAAAATGCAAAATTTTCCATTTAAAACATTGAAAGTAATGCCGCCATGAACATAGTTGAACAAATGCTCCTGTTAGTATGATTGAGCATCTTCTGGTTATATTCCTAAGAGTGGTATTGCTGGATCCTGAGGTATGTTGAGTCCCAGGTTTCTGAGAAACCACCACACTGATTTCCAAAGTGGTTGCACAAGTTTGCATTCCCATCAGCAACGGACATCCTCTCCAGCATAAGCTATCATTGGTGTTTTTGATTTTAGCCATTCTGACAGGTGTAAGATGGTATCTCAGAGTTGTTTTGATATGCATTTCCCTGATAGCTAAGGAAACTGAACATGTCTTTAAGTATCTTTTGGCCATTTGAAATTCTTCTGTTGAGAATTCTCTGTTTAGTTCACTATACCACTCTTTAATTGGGTTATTTAGAATTTTAGTATCTAATTTCTTGAGTTCTTTATATATTTTGGAGATCAGTCCTTTGTCCAAAATGGGGTGGGTGAACATTTTTTTCCCATTCAGTAAGCTGCCTTTTTGTTTTATTGACTGTGTCCTTTGCTTTACAGAATCTTCTCAGTTTCAGCATGTCCCATTTATTTGTAATAGCCAGAACCTGGAAACAACCTAGATGCCCCTCAACTGAAGAATGGATAAAGAAAGTATGGCACATCTACACATTAGAGTACTACTCAGCAGGAAAAAAAAAGCAAGCAATGACATCTTGAACTTTGCAATCAAATGGATGGAATTAGAAAACACTATCCTGAGTGAGGTAATCCAGACCCCCCCCCCAAACCGAATATGGTATGTACTCACCCATAAGCAGATACTAGTCATAAACAAAAAACATCAAGCCTATAGTTCATGATCCCAGAGGAACTAAGTAAGAAGGTGAACTCAAAGAAAAATATATATAGACCCACCTGGGAATTGGAAACAGACAAAAATTTGGGAGCATGGGGGCAGGGGGTAGAAGGAAGAGGAGAAGGGGTGGTTGAGGAGAACTTGAGGCATTGGGATAGTCCAGATGGAGGAAGGACAGATATGAGAGCAAGGAAAGAGATATCTTGATTGAGAAAGCCATTATGTGGTTATCAAGAAACCTGGCTCTAGAAAACTGCCCAGGAATCCACAGGGATGACCCCAGCTAAGACCCTAAGCAATAGAGGAGAGGGTGTCTGAACTGACCTTACCCTGTAGTCAGACTGATGTTTATCTTAAATATCATCATAGAACTTTCGTCCAACAACAGTTGGGAACAGAGGCAATGACACACATTGGAGCTCTGGACTGAGCTCCTCAGATCCAGTTGAAGAGTGGAAGGAGTGAGAGTATGAGCAAGGAGGTCAAGACCATGAGGGGTTCACCCACTGAGACAGTTTGCCTGAGCTAATGGGAGCTCACCAACTCCAACTGGACTGGGAGTGAACAAGCATGGGATCAAACTAGTCCTTCTAAATGTGGTTGACAGCTGGGGCAGATGAAGGGGCACTGACAGTGACACTGGGATGTGTCTCTACTGCATGTACTGGCTTCTTGGGATCTTATTATCTTTGAATGTATACCTTACTCAACCTAGATGTAGTAGGGAGGGCCTTGGACTTTCCACAGGGCAGGGTGCATTGCCCTCTCTTAGGATTGGAGGGGGGTGGGGTGAGAGGGTCTGTGGAGGGAGTGGGAGGGAAGTGGTAGGAGGGGAAGGAGTGGGAATTTATTGGTAATTTTTAAGTAATAAAGTACAAAAAATAAAACATTGAAAGTTGTAGAATTAGCTGTTGTTGATTAAAATTCACCATGCTATACAATCTTCACTGCTGCATTAAAAAATAATTTTACCCCAACAGAAATTCTAAGTCCAGTAAGCAATAGACAAGAATCCTACCCTTTTTTGGCCCCTCTGAATGTTCATCTACTTCCTGTCTTTATGAATTTGCTTACCTTATATATTACATATAAATGGCTTCATACAATATTTATACTTCCGTGTCTGACTCACTTCATTTATCCCACACTTCAGGGTTCACACATGTTGTAGGTGCATCATCCTTTGGTGTATGTACACAGTGTGTTATTCATCCATTCACCTGCTGTCCTGGTTAGTTTTTTTATTAGCTAGACGCAAACGAGAATCACGTGGGAAGAGGGAGCCTCAACTGGGAAATCCCTCCATCAGATTAGCTTGTTTCAAGTCTGTGGAATGGTTTTTTCTTCTTTTTTAAATTTTATTTTATATGTGCAAGTGTTTTGCCTACATGTGCATGTCCACCATGTGCCTGGTGCCCACTAAGGCCTTGAGAGGAAATCAGAAACCCTGGAACTGAAGTTCCAGAAGGTTTTGGCTCAGCCGAGAATGCAAACTGTGTTCTCAGGAAAACAATAAACGCTCTAAAGTGCTGAGCCATTTTTCCAGTCCCCGCATTTTCTTGATTAATGATTGACATAACTGGTCCCAGCGCACTGTGGATGGTCCTACCCCCTGGGAAGACGCTCCTCAGAGGAACAAGGATCAGCCTGGTCAGCAAACCAGTGAGCAGCTCTGTGATTTTGCTTCAGTTCATTCCTCTGGGCTGCTGTTTGAGTTCTTGCCTTGGTTTCCTTCAGCGAGAGACTGTGACTTGTGATAAAATAAAGCCTTACTTTCCCAAGTTGTTTTTGGTCAGTATTTTATCACAGCAACAGAACTGAGAAAGACCCCTGTTGATGGGCACGTGGGTCATTTATACTTTTGGGTTGTCTGAGTAGTGCTGCTGGGAACACGACTTTCTCTGTTTGAGCTTCCTTTTGAGTTCCTTTGGGGAGACATCTAGAAGTGTAGTTGCAAGGACATCTACTAATTTTCTGCTTAGTGTAGCTTGATTTATTTGTTTGTATATTAGGTGTGCATACCTTCATCTGTATGAATGCACGTGCACGTGTTTGCACACAAATTCGGAATCCACAGGTTGATGTCAGAGGCCTTTCTTAGTTTCTCTCTACCTTATTGGTTGAGATGGAGTCTCTCACTGACCCTGGAGCTCTCCTATTTAGCTAGGACCAGTGAGTACCAAGATGTCATCCACAGAGGGCTAGAATCCCAGAGTGTGTTAACTAACATGAAAGTAGAATTGAGAAGATGAAGAACCAGGAAGGGAAGAGCTGATGTAAGGAGCCAGGGTCTAGAGGAGCCTGTGGAACACTGAGCACACATGACGTCAGAGGAGACTAGGAGAGGATGGCAGCCCAAGCCCTTGGCCTCATCCCTGGTAAAGGTAAATACTCAGTGTGACGTATGCAGTGTCTCTGCCCAGCAGTGTGGGGCCCAGAGATCCTTCGTGACCATGGATGCGAACTACAAAACCATATCTCAGTTTTAGGGACAGTCTTCCCACAGGGTTGACAGTCCCGTCATGCTGTTAACAAAATGTTAAAGACGATCATTCAACTTTTGCCTACTTACTCCATCAGCAACGGATTTGCACTCTGGAGATAAGACCTGAAACTGCTCCTTTGAACAATTCGTTTGCACAATTGAGTAGGTGATTTCAAGATTCATTCCAGCCACCACCTGAAATGATTTTAGATTGAGTGAGAACTTGAAGTTCAGCATGAACATTAATCACAGTGAGCAAAAGTTATAAACATCTTTAAACTTTGAATTGGATTGAGTAAGTGCTCAGGGAAAACACAGCATCATTGCTACCAGGCAAAGGGATCACTGAGTAAAAATTGAGTATCTTCACACATGTGTGCGCACACACAACACACACACACACTCCCATGTAACTGCAAATTACACACAAACACTTTAATGTAATTGTAAATTGTATATATATACATAAATACATTATATTTCTTGAAATAAAAGCCCCACAATTTTTCCTTTTCCAGGTTGTCAAGAGGGCATATTTCCCCCAGCTTTGTGAAACACTATGTTTGTCTATGCAGGAGGAGTGAGAAATAGGAATGACCTTTCCCGGTGAGTTGATGGGTCTCAGGCCACCAGCTAGTGAAATTCTCCTGCTTTGTTCTTGACAGGCCCCACACTGACCGCCAACTCCATGTTGAGTACACATCATCCCCATGCTGACCACCTCCCTTCCCCATGATGACCACCCCCCTTCTCCAGGCTGACCAACCACCTTCCCTATGCTGACCACAAACTCCATGCTGACCACCCACCCTCCCTATGCTGACCACAAACTCCATCCTGACCACCCACCCTCCCTATGCTGACCACAAACTCCATTCTGACCACCTTCTCAATACTGACCACCTACTGCCCTCATGTTGACCTCTGAACATGAACACAGATGTAAAATACAAATCTCCCGCAGTGTCAAGTTAAACTGAAGGTAGAGAAGCAGATCTCTGTGATTTTGAGGCCAGCCCTGTTTACATAGTGAGCTCCATGACAGTCAGGGCTTTGTAGAGACACCCTGCCTCAAACAAACAAACAAACAAACAAAAATTCAAATACATAGATAGCTAGATAATCAGAGGACTGTGGAATAGACAACTTTTCCACCTCACCACCATGAGCGAGTGTCAAGTATAATTTAGGGTGTACCCAGGAAGTCATGTCCATCTTTTTAGGACCAATTTAATACTTTGAGGCAGTATTTAATTAATAACAACAAGATAGTAATACAGATTTGTTAAAATCCTAAAACCAGAATGACAATTTCATGAAATGCTAAACTATTTGTTACATACAAACCCAAGAGAAGAAGATGTGAGTCACCCATCCCTTTGTATGGGTCACTCTGCTCACTTGGGCCCTAGAGAAAGCCCCTTGCTTTAAGAGCTATTCTTGTGAAAGCGCAGAGGGATACTCCAGTACCATAAATCATGAGGCCAAACAGGTTCCTCCTGGCAGGGGGAACAGCAGGAACCACACAGGTTTATTTTATGTGACAAGATGCTAATCTAACAAATTTTTAACCATATCATGTCATGAAACACTGAAAAAACAAACCTGTCTCTGGGCTGCTTTTACTTCTTCAAGAGCAAAGAGGTGGGAGTGCTTGGTGTTGTTATTGAAATGCTCAACTGCGTGTTTCAGGACAGGCTCCAGTTCAGGGCTGTCAGGCGGTATGGGGTGTACACAGCCCAAACAGGTGTACTGGGCTGTCAATGCGGGTCCATTACCTTGACAAAGAGCAGACAAAGAGACAGCGTTAACAACTGAAAACATCTCTCATTTACACTGTTCCAAACCCAAACCATTTAGAAATTCCTGATAACTGACTTTCCAATAACTCTCATATGAGTTAGACATGATGAGAGTCTAGGTCTCCTGTGTAGTCAGAGGGAAAGTGGAGAGTACTAAGAATAGTTTTTTTTTATGCTATATTTATTTCATTTTTTTAGACATGGGTCTCATATACCCCAGTCTTGGTCTGAAACTATCTGTATAGCTTAGGATGGCCTGGGAATTCTGATCCTCCTTCCTCTACTTTTCTCTGCAGGCCTCTGTGTCTGACTTATGAGGTGATGGGGATCGAACCCAGGCATTCAGGCATAAACTGGCTTGTCAGAAAAAGGCCCAAGAATGGAGTCATGCGAAGAGAATGCTGAGAGTCAATACGAACACTCCAAGAAACAAGACAAGGGTCTTGTGACCTCAGTTGCTTCAAAACACAGAATTGTTCTTGGAATCTGTTTTGGGCCCCTCCCAGGGGTAGCGAATACCAGCGAATTTACTGCTTGTTCTTGTTAGCCAATTAAATTTTGAAACTCTCCTTGGTATGACTCTATGTATGCCACAGTGTGGCTTTTCCTTGTGACTATATACAGCATGTGCTCATGGGAACTTTACTGATGCGGCCTTTCTCTTTTCCATGATTTTTTTTCAGAAAAGATTTACTTAAATAAATATAATGCATACCATGTTCTGGCTGCATGTATGCCCAGAAGAGGACATGAGATCTCATTGCAGATGACTGTGAGCTGAGGGTTGAACATAGGAATCTGGAAGAGCAGCCAGGGCTCTGAACATCTGAGCCATGTCTCAAAGCCCTCATGTGACCTTTCTTAACCCTCAGGGTATAATTCATCTGAGGCTCTGAATGAAGTTGGTTATTGTAGAAGACTTTAGACTGCCTCACTTAACAACTCCATGCTCACAGGTCCCACCGCCTCCAGGACGGTGACACTAGCTGAGCTACATCATTAGGCCTTTATTTTAATGATCACAGTAATATATCAACTCACCACTTTATGAAAGGGAAACATTACAGATATATCATAAATTTGTGTGTTAATTAAGCTCCTTTTTGCCTACCTCTGTTTATTTCCTGTTATTAATCCCGACAAAGTCGACCTGATCTTTAACTCTTGGAGAAAAACCCTCCCAAACAGATTTTTCTTTCCATTTTTTTATGTTATACATCATCAAAAAACAAATCATTGGCAGGTAGAAAGTGAAAGGCTGTGAGCTGACAGGACGGCACTCTTCTCTGTGTTCCTATGATTAGTGTGGTAGTTTGGATGTAAATAGTCCCCACAATCTCAGAGAGTGACACTCTAAGGAGTTTTGGCTCTGTTGGAGTAGGTGTGGCCTTGTTGGAGTAGGTGTGTCACTGTGGGGACAGGATTTGAGGTTTCTAAGCTCATGATACCCTCCAGTGTCACAGTCTGTTCTCTGCTGCCTTCTGCTCAAGATGTAGCCAGCACCATGTCTGTCTGCACACTGCATGCTCCCGGCCATAATGATAATGGACTGAACCACTAAACTGTAAGTGAACCTGCACAAACTAAATGGTTTCCTGTATAAGAATTGTCATGGTCATGGTGTCTCATCACAGCAATAGAAACTCTAACTAAGACAACCAGCATAAAAGGCCAGAGGTTTTCTTGTTAGTCAGCTCAAGAGGAGCCTTTCCTTGAAGTCCATCTGCCCCTGCTATCACACGCCAGGTGCTGAAGTAGGGTGTAGGGACACATTAAGTATCACTTCCATGAAGGAATGACAACCAGGTAGAACAGAAAGAGTGTAGATAGCATTTCATGGAGCTTGGCAGGAGCTAGGAAAACCAGAAGGATAAAATGAGATCAGGGAGGACGTCTATGAAAATGTTGAAGACGCCTGAGCTGGAAGGAAGAAGCTGGAAAGAGGTGTCGGTATGCTCTGTGGGGGCGGGGGAGCTGTAATGGTCGAATGAGGTAACACATGATCCATGTGAGGTAATTAATACATGTAAAGTCCCTAGACCCACGGCAACACCTAAATGCTTGGTGAGTGTGAGCTCTGGGCTGGCATCTGCTGTCTACGTCTGATGATGCCCAGACACTGCATCTTTCATCATCTCAACTTCTAGCACACCAGTCCTGTGAAGTGTGCAGTCCTACTCTCTCCCTTCTGAGACAATGAAAAGGAGAAGTGAAGATGATAAAAACCTGGACTGATTTCAGGTCAGAGCAGACCCCAAAGCCCACAGTCTCCTCCCTGTAGGGGGCGCTGTGGGACTGGAGGTGAGTCCAAGCCTCCTCCCTTTAGGGGGCGCTGTGGGACTGGAGGTGAGTCCAAGCCTCCTCCCTGTAGGATCCGCTGTGGCACTGGAGGTGAGTCCAAGCCTCCTCCCTGTAGGGGGCGCTGTGGGACTGGAGGCAAGTCCAAGTCTCCTCATCCTCTGTCAGCCTCCACCCACACCAGTCCCTGCTGATACACCACAGGAGGACTTAGGATAGGTCTGAGGGGGATGATTGACACAGCCTGACCCAGTCCAAAAACCTGGGTCAGGCTACTCTGTCCACAATCTGCCACAGTGCTAACACTGTAGCTGGCATTGCCATTGTCACCATCTGCAAAGGTAAAGTAGTCTGGTCTGGGTTGTGTTCCTGGTACATACGAATAATTAATGCCCACTGCTCACCCTCCCTCCAGGCTCCTACCTGCTGCCACCACTAGTGAAGGCCCCCTGATGTATCACCCACCTGGAGTAATATTGCAAGTCTGGGTAGCTACAGAGAATTTCTTAGCTCCCCTCTTCCCCACTGTCGCTGTACATTCTCCAGTGGCCTAAAAGAAAAGAAAGAGGTTATTTGGTCAAATCTTTCTTTCTCATGTATGCATCTAGCTAGTATTGTTGCTAATTGTGATTTAACGTTTTGTTTTCTAATAGTTTTTTCTTTTTTTTTTAAATATTTATTTATTTACTTATTATGTATACAATATTCTGTCTGTGCAGGCCAGAAGAGGGCACCAGACCCCATTACAGATGGTTGTGAGCCACCATGTGGTTGCTGGGAATTGAACTCAGGACCTTTGGAAGAGCAGGCAATGCTCTTAACCTCTGAGCCATCTCTCCAGCCCCTCTAATAGTTTTTTCTTAAAGATTTATTTGATTTTATGTACATGAATGTTTTGCCTGTATGTATCCTGCTGCCTGTAGAGGCCAGAGGAGAGCGTCAGATCCATGGAACTAGAGTTACATATGTTTATGGAATCCATCTGGGCATTAGGATCCCAACCCAGGTCTTCTGGAAGAGCTCTTAACCCCTGAGCCATCTGTCCAGTCCTCTAACAAAATTTAGAGAAATGAGAATGAATATTGAGTGACTGCTCCCACAGGCCACTGATCTTCAAGGGTCAGGGAGAGGCAGAGTAAGGCTTCTGAACTTGAGCCTCAATGTGGAGTCCTAGAGAGGCTTCTCTGTCTCCAGGACGGACACTGTGCCTCAGGAAAACAGGCTAAGCCTCCTCCTTGATGTCCCTTTTAGTGTCAGTGGGTTCATGTTCTCTGCATAATTTTTAGTTAAACCTCTTAGAATATCCCACTTCCGTTCTGCTGCGTGCCCGCTCCCTCTGCCCTGGTGCCTCTCAATGGCTCTGTTTTCCCATCTTGTAGAGATACACTACATGCATGTAACAGATCATTGCGAGGAGTAAACGTGCTAACACTCAGAAAGAGCCCAGTAAAGCAGCACACAGTTGGTCTTCATGGTGGCTGTCCACGCATGGTGCTGAACTGTGCCTTTTGTCTTCTTGTTCAGTCTTATCCACTGTACTGGGTGTCAGGAGCTATCATGTGAAGCTAGAACTCACCCTGATGCCTCCCTGCAGCTCTAAGAGATTCTGCAGGGCATAGCTGCCAGACAGGCTCAGTGAGGGGCAGAGCCTGCGCGGCAATCCTGGTCTCCTAATTTGGAGTGCAGTGTGCTCTTTTACATCCATGGAGGACCACAGTGTGAGCACACTCGGGAGGATGCTGACATCCCATATAAAAGTGCAGTCCAAGCTTATGAGAATTATCTGCTTCTCAGGCAGATGACTGCCCGCCAACCCGTCTCACCCGTGCAGGGCATCCATCCGCTGCTAGATCTGGAGTTTCTTTAAGATGCCTATTGTCAATGAGATCTTATTTAGTTGATCTCGTTTCAGCCTCCTCCAGCCAGGGAGACCAAGGTTGTCTCATTTTAATAGGTTACAGCACCTACTGAGGAAGGCCAAGTGGCTTCCTACCACTAGGAGGCAAAGTCAAGATTTGTACTTAGTTAGGCCCAATATAGTTGAAGTTCCCATATTTTTTTTTTTCACTAGACCTTGAACTCAGCCCAAATGCCTATCTGCTATCTCTGTGGTGTCTGACACACAAGCTTTGGTTGGTTATTAGGACCATTTTCTCATGAGAAGGCAACAAGATTGTTTAATGGTTGGCATATTCCAGGTTTTTCTGTCTTCTCAAATTAAGACAGAATGAGGCTAAATTTTCTATATAATAGGAGGTTTATGTGCATCCTTCATAAACAAAGTCAATAATAGAAAGCATGCCCTTTTAATTTAGAAAGTCTGTCGATGATAATGGGCAAGGAAGTTGGTGTGTATACATAAAGGAAGAATTCTAAAGAATTAAATCTCGTCCCTTGCAGCGCAGAAGGGACTGGAACCAGCAGGTTGGTGAAAGCATCAGGCACAGGCCAGCAAGGCCAGCAAAGATGATGTCACAGAAACTAGGAGCGGAACATTGGAGGCTGCAGGAGGACAGGGCTGGCAAGAATACTGAGCGAATACAGACAAGGATTTTATATTGTTCTTACAGAATAGCTGGAAAGACTTTGAATTTTGTCACCGTAAAGGACTGACGGCTGCCTGAGGAGACAGGTACCCCAGCTTTAAACAAGCCCATGGCGGTCAAATCCTCAGACGTACCCATCATGTGTACAAGTTTTATGTCTGACACTCTTATTTAAATGTTACAGAGCCCCGAGGGTTCCACGCAGCAGGCCGGGGACTTTGGGATGAAGAGCAGACTTACGGCTTCCTCGGCGTCCTTGTAGTTACAGTCCTGCCAGCTGAGGCCACTCTGAACAGGGCAGTTGCCCTCCTTGATTTGATACTTGAAGGAGTAAAATGTGTCAGAACCCACCTGAGGAAAGCAAGGGTAACACATGGCGTCATTCAGTGGACCCAGCGGAAATATGTGGGAGTTGATGCATTACAAATACCTGTCCTTCTCAGACTCAAGGAGCGGTGTGTTTCTTAAAATATAAACGTTTACATTTGCATAAATACTCCTTGGAAGAATGCTCATAATATACTTATTTTCTTAGCAGTTCCAAAGCAGCACCCATAGTATTAGCCCTGCCCTCTTTCTGTGAAACCTAGTTCACATGTACATATCTGGGTCTTTAAACGTCTGGTTGAAGATGGGAATAGTGCGAAGCCTGTAATCCGGGTACCACACTTGGGGAGCTGAGACAGGAGGGCCTTGGCTTCAAGGCCAGCAGAGCTAAGTAAGGAGGCCCTGCCTCAAAAACCCCAAAGGCCAGGGTCCAGCTTAGAGTTTGGGTGACATGTGCCCTGGGCTGGATCTCCAGTGTCCGGGAGGGGAAGCCGACTATAGGGACATCGTAGAACAAACTCCCGTGTACCCATCCATCATCCAGTGGAGACAGCAGTGCACAGTGGCCCAGAGTGTCTATGGGGAGAATGCAAGCTGTGCTGTAGTGAAAAACAAAAGGCTTCATTTTACCTTCAGAAAACAAACAAGTCTACGTCCACTAGGTTTTTCTTTTTATTCTCATGTCGTTATTGGATTTTTCTTTTGCTGAAATAACTTGACCAATACAAAGAAAGAGTCTTTAAAACTGAAATTTATGATACTATTTATTTTTAAAAACTTCTACATTTTTAAAAAGTTTTAAATGTGTGTGAGTATTTCCCTGAATATACATACATATACTACATGTGTTCCTGGTACTTATTGTAGCCAAAAGAGGTACCAGATCCCGAGTTATAGATGGTTCTGAATGACCATGGGTGCTGAACCCAGGTCTTCTTCTAGATTAGTCAGTGCCCGAACCTCTCTAGTCTGTGAACTCTATCTGTCTGTCTATCTATCTGTCTGTCTGTCTGTCTTTCTGTCTGTCTGTCCGTCCGTCTATCTGTCTGTCTATCTATCTATCTATCTATCTATCTATCTATCTTTTTATCTTTCTATCTATCTATGTGTACACCACTGCCCAGCTTTCACCCAGCTATTTTTAAAACTCTTAATGATTTTGCTTTTCTCTGATTTATGAATCCTGCCTGCATTTGCCTCCTGACTGAGTGGACTAAGGCAGAAATGAAAGCATAGTCAAATCCAGCTGAAACGGACTGGGGAGGCGGGGTAGCTGGTAAAGCCCTTGCCTACCTAGCATGACCTGGGTTTGAATCTCTGGCACCACATAAACCTCGCATGGAGGCACATGCCTGTAATCAAAACACTAGGGAGACGCAGGCGGGAAGATGAAAAGTTTGCATTTATCATCAGCACCAGAGAAAGCTCGGGGTCAGTCTGAGGTTGCCTGACACCCTGCCCCAACCTCCCTGTATCCCCCAGACTGAAGAAAACTAATGGACACATTGTTATAAACCTCGAAGAGTCAGCGACACACACTCGGTGGTATTTACTTGGTCCAAGGCAATGGTGACAGCTCTTCTCCTCTTCCCTTTATTCAGCCCATGCAGAACTCTCACTTAAGACTGGGAGGCCATTGAGTTCACAGACCCAAGGCTGATTAAGTTGCTGGATTGCTCTGTGCCTTGTCCCTTTCAAACATCTCCACCTGCTGCTGTTTCTCTCTTCCCAGGAAACGGCTTTTAGGGTCACCCAGGAAGCCTCTTTTGCTTACCTAAGGACTGGCCACCTCCCGTCCTCTCCTCCCATGCCAGAGAGCACAAATTACAAGTGATCTCAAGGTTAAGCAGTCACTCACCATTTTAGTGCCCTCCGTCACTCGGTACAACACAAACTGGTAGCCAGTTTGGTTTCTAGCATTGTACTTCTTCAGAGCAGCATCCACAGCCTGAAACACATCCTCATCATTGCAGTCTATTTCCTCGGTGCTTTCTTCCTGTGCTAAACTTAGGAGCAGCCTGGAGCAGAGGAACAGTATAGTAACTAGCTTCATGATTCAAGTTTCCCTCTAGAGTCAGAGGGGTGGTTTTGATGAGAACTGGAAGCCAACTCAGCAGCTGCTCTTAGCAGCCTGTCTGTTCTGTCCAGTCCTCCTTTCTCCCTGCCTGACCACTGGGACCCTATTTGGATTCCTGCCGTCACAAGCTGTTTGCCCTCTTCCCAGAGAACAAATAGGACTTGGTTAGCTGTCCAAGCAGGTTTCAGGCTGGAACATTGCAACACAGGGGTTGTTGACCTTCGTCTTTGACTTTGGAAAGAATGTGGGAAGGCAGAGCCCATTTCCAAAACATTGCACAACAGTATACAGTGAATTAGAGCAGAAACCAATAAAAGAGGAGCTAAAAGCAACAACCAATTCTCTTAGCCTCTTGCAACGTTACTGGGCCAATTACAAAGGTTTCTCCATGTGTAAACATGAGAACAATGTACAAACCTCCCACACAGCATTACTTATGGAATGCCAGTGTGTATAGAAGCAGGCTAATGGGATGTCGGTGTGTATAGAAGCAGCTAACGCGATAAATGGGATATGTGTGTATAGAGGCAGACTTCTGTCAGATCTGCTGCATCCTGCAAAGTGCAAGCCCAGGAACATCAGCCGAGTGCTGGGAGCTCCACCCAGGGCACTGGCACATCTGCAAAACCAGCCTCTCTGCTCAATTCTATTAATTCAAGCAAAAAAGGGAGGGAGTGGCCAGCAAGAGCCCAGCAGGTAAAAGTGCCTGCCCCAGGATCCTCATGCTGACAACTTGAGTTTGATGCCAGGAAGTCAGAAAAAACCTCTGGATGGTGACACACATTTAGGATCCTGTGAACCAGGAGGTGGGGGATGTGAGAGTCACCAGGAAGCGCACAGCCCTGGAGTATGACAGCAGGAGAAACAGGAAGATCCTTCTTTCCGAGGTGGTAGTCGCATAGTCCTGATCTTTCTCTGACCTCCACATGTGGGCTGTGGCCTTTGTGCCCGCACCCACACCTTCTTATTCTCGCTCATAAACACAGACAGTAATAAAAGCAAAGAAGAAATGAAAGAAAGGATAGAGGGAGGGAAGAAAGGAAGAAGAGAGGATGAAAAAATAAAAGCCCCAAAGATTGAACTCTGTGTGTTCCATGGGAATCTCTAGCTTGTGATGGAGCCTGCCTGAGAAGCCCGAGGCGGGGTGCTGTCCTCAATATGGGGTGAGTGCTGACTTTACAGGAGCATGGCAGGAATAGGCACTTGGTTAGAGGTCCGAGATGGGTGTCAGTCTGGCTCTTCTCCTGAACGTCTATGTGACTGTGTCTGTACAGGCAAGTGCATGCATGTCAGTGTGTGTGTGTGTGTGTTTCATGCTTGCCTGGTTATGTGCCTAGGTGTGAATGAGTGTGAGTTTCCATGTATGCCCATGTGTGTTTGTGAGTCAGACTCTCATAACCTTCCCATCTCAGTTTCTCCACCTGAAAAATGTGGAACTCATGGTATCTTTTTTGTTTATTTGTTTTGTGTTTTTGACATGGTTTCTCTGCATATCCTTGGCTGTCCTGGAACTCGCTCTGTAGACCAGGCTAGCCGCAAACTCACAGCAGTGTGCCTGCCTCTCCTGGGATTAAAGGCATCTTCCACCAGTGCCTGCCTAAAAATAATAATATCTTTTCTCTTTTCTTTTTTTTTTAAGATTTATTTATTTATTATGTATGCTTTGTTCTGTTTGTGTGTATGCCTGCTTCCCAGAAGAGGGCACTAGATCTCATTATAGATGGTTGTGAGCCACCATGTGGTTGCCAGCAATTGAACTCAGTACCTCTGAAAGAGCAAACAGTGTTGTTAACCTCTGAGCCATCTCTCTCTTTTACTTTTAAATCTGTTTCTGGCACTGGAGAGCTGACTAAGAATTTTTTTTTTTTTTTAAAGAAATTTTTAGTTTACTACAGTGTTCTGCCTGCGGGCCAGAAGAGGGCACCAGATCTCAATATCTCATTACAGATCATTGCTTGAGCAACCATGTGGTTGTGGGGAATTGAACTCAGGACCTCTGGAAGAGCAGCCAGTGCTCTTAACCTCTGAGCCATCTCTCCAGCTCCCCCCCCCCCCCAAAATATCTTAATGGGGTTGTTTTTGTTTTTATTCCCTAGAAATTCTTTTATTTAAGCAAATTTTGAAAGTAAAAGCAGAGACACGTAATCTTTCATAAATGAAACAGCCCAGCACCACAGGTTACAGAAACAAAGAAATGAGGAGGTGGAAGTTGAAAAGAAACTAAGGCAGAGAGGGCAGGTCTTTGACTTTAGTTTCCCCGAAGTTGAGCGTTGAAGCAAAAAGTTTCTACAGTTAAAAGGTTCATATAAATTATATGTATTGTGATTTTTGTGGACGTCAGAATGAGATGGTCTGCACAGAACTAAAGATAAGCCTAGTGTCATATCATAGTTGTGCAAGGCTAGCAAAAGCCATGGATATTAATAACCAAAAGAAAAGTTCAGTTCTTTAGTTGCATGAGAAAAGAGTCTAGCATGGGCCCTAATTAGTTCAAGAACATAGACTATTCTACAGAAGCAGCAATTATGGGCACATTGTGTTGGAAGACATGTGCTCCTGGTTGGTACGTTATCAATTTCTAATGGGAAAATAAATACAGGTATTGTAAAAGGTTACACAAATCCACTGCACTTCTACAGAAGCACAAAGGGGAATGAAGTAGCCAGTGTGCATGTCCATCCATTCATGTCTCCAACAAAGAGGACTGTTGTACGACTGTACACCTGAGGAAGAGCTAGCTTCAGCAAGGGCTGGGAAACACTGGAGTCACACAAGTCACAATGGAGCCGGAGGATATCTCCTAGGTAAGAGGATCTTGTTAAAGCTAGGACAGCAGGTTTAAGGCCGTCAAGTCTAAGCAGTTATTCAAATCTTTTGCAGCCTTTCTGTGCATGTCTCAATCATGTGACTTGTCTTCCAACCTGTGGTGTCTCAATCATGTGACTTGTCTTCCAACCTGTGGCCAAATCATCTGGCTTACAAAACCCCGAAGGAAAACACAGACATAATCAATTCAGCAGAGGTTCCATTAAATAAGAGTAGCATACAAAGCTGTGATTATGGGGAAGCAAAGAAAGTTTGAGCATTAGCGAGGTAACACTTGCTTGCTCCTTGTTGGAGCCAGCCCTTCACCTGCTATGCAATAGGTACAATTACTGTTACATTAATTACATTGCTATTTCACGTCCTCTGTATCAGTGCACGGTTAAACTAGTCAAACCCTCCACACGTGTAGGTTTCCCTACAACGACAGCACACACTACCATTTCAATTATGGCACAAAAATTTCTTTTGTGTTTCTAACAAGTGTGGTCAGTACACTAACCTTGATGTCATATCAGAGGCAGCGCTCCTTCAACTCAATTCTACTTCCTGGAACTTAATATTTCCTGAAGAATGTTTATTTGTAAATCCTTTACAGCATCAATGTTTCTCCTTCAAGCTTCTCCTACATCAAAATGACCCAGACAACTAGCAACACACGCTATCGAGCAATATCCGTGTTACCTTCAACATTTATGCTTGATTCTCATTTTATTAAGCTCCTTTCAGCCTATTCGCTGTTTTCAGCAAATGATTATCATAACACACATGCACACACACACACATGTATTACATTGTATCAGGGACATGGAAGAGTACATAATTTAAGATTACAGTTTTGTGTTAGCTTAGGTTGTAAAATCTTACATGGGAAATCTAAGGCAAGTAAGGTCGGTTGCTGACTGTACTCAAGAAGGCAAACCGAACAAACACCCTGAGTGCACAGGAGGACAGCAGTCTTAGGACTTAAGAGATTTCAAGGTGTATCATTAACTCTGGCTGTGAGACCCCGCAAATGTTCCAGGCTCTTAGAGTATAAAGATGCCTTCGTATTTCTTCACCATAGATAAGTTTCCAGGTTGAGCAGAAGGAAAAGAGGAGCTAGCAGATGGGAGGGTGAGGAAGTGAGTAAGGTACGTTGTCCTGAAGGAATCGGATCACTGTGGACGTTTTCAGTGGAGACTCAGAACCAGAACAGCCAGCAGGGTAAAGGATATGGCTTTGGAGGAGGCTGCTCAGAGCTCTAACCTAAGTTCTAAAAGTTACTGACTTTGTGGTTTGAAAGAAAATGGATTCCATAGGACCACAGTGAGTGGCACTATTAGGAGGTGTGGCCTTGTTGAAGTGGGCGTGGTCTGTTGGAGTAGGTATAGCCTTGTTTGAGTGGCTGTGGCCCTGTTGGAAATAGATGTGTCCTTGTTGGAGTGGGTGTGGGTCTTGTAGATGTGACCTTGTTGGAGTAGACGTGGCCCTGTTGGAGTAGGTGCAGTCATGTTGGAGTAGGTGTGGCCTGTTGGAGTAGGTGTGGCCTGTTGGAGTAGGTGTGGACTTGCTGGAGTAGGTGTGGACTTGCTGGAGTAGGTGTGGCCCTGTTGAATGTAAAGACACTCCTTGCAGGGCTGATTCTTTTGTTTTTTGTTTAATTTTTGAGACAAGCTCTTCCTATTACACACCTCTGACTGTCCTGGAACTCATTATGTAGACCAGGCTGGTTTCAAACTCACAAGGATCCTCCTGCCTCTGCTTCCTGTGTTCTGGACCTTCAAGGTGTGTACCATGGTGCCCAGCTTGTTTCCTGTGTTTATTGCTGTATTGTTTATCTGTGGAAACTTCAATAGGATATCTATTAAAATAATCAGGGCTTCTAATATCTGTGCTTTTCAAGATGTATTTTCAAAAACTCAAGAAATATTTGTCAACCAGCTTTATAAATTAAAGAACAAGCCGGGTATGGTAGTGCATGCCTTTTATCCCAGCACTCCAGAGGCAGACACGAATAGATCTCTGTGAGTTCTAGGCCAGCATGGTCTACAGAGTGAGTGCCAGGACAGCCAGGGCTACATAGAAACCCCACCTCAAAAAACAAAGAAAGAAAAGAAAGAAAGAAAGAAAGAAAGAAAGAAAGAAAGAACAAAATAAAAAACAAAACAAATCTGTGGTAAATAATATTTTGGGTTGTTTATTTGTTTATTTGAGTTTATTTGTTCTTGGCTTCCTGGTAACCCCCTTCTCAGCTCTTTTCTCAGGCAGCTGACTCTGGGTTCATGCTTCTGGAAAAGAACAACGTTCCCTAGGGCAACACTTAGCTGGCCCCCATAGAGTGGTCACAGT